AGCTTCAAATTTAAAGGGGTCATATGATGTTGCTAAAAAGAACATTATGGGCGGCGTTATGCAAATCTTCCCACATCGTGACGTAGACATGTGGGGGCGTGTTAGAACGAGCCGTTTTAGGTAGGCGTGGTTGACTCTTAACTTTTATAAAGAATATGTCTTTGGATTTGAGACTTTAGTCTTTGCAACTTTACAGATCTTCTTTATGCACCAAGAGCTTGTAAGGAAAAATTGAAATCGCATCATATGACCCCTTTAAATATTTATAAACATTTTTAACACATTCAAAAGCTTTGTGAAGCTAACATTCACAGTTTGTCTTTACTAAGTTCAATTTGTTAATATTGAGCAATTAAAATTTTAAAACAATACTGCCACTTGTCTGTTTTTACTCCATCAATGAAAATAGTTCCAAACAAAGACACAGAAGAACTGTGACACCGAGCAACACAGAAATGTCTTTCTTAATTGATTCAGCATTTTTGAACTAATATGTTAATTCAATGAATCACTCATAAAGTTAGCCAGTTGTTTTGTTCCTGAATGAATCAGTGATTTGAATGAATCAGTTGACTGAATGATTCAACTAATCACTCATAAAGACTTCTGCTGTGTTCAAAATGCCATACTATCATACAACTCTTACTATTTTTGCAGTATCCAGTATGTATACTGTGCATAGTATGCAAACTTTTTGTATGCATGGAATGACCTACTTTATTTGCCAGAATCTGCTAACTCAAGAACACTGAAATCAGTAAAGAAGCTGTGTTTGGAACAGCATACTACCATACAAGTTGTATGCTAGTATGCTATTCCAAACACATATAGTAGGAGTTATATGATACAACTCCTGCTATATTGCAGTATGCTATGTGTAGGCTATACTGTGAATAGTATGTGAATTTTCTGAATGCATGGAATTCCCAGATTACCTACTACATTTGCTGAAATCTGATGTATGCATCTGAAGACACTGTATGGAATACTGTTTCCCACAATGCAACGTGCTCCATGTGACGTTTCATCTTCAAATGCGTGAGTGAACTGGAGGCAGGGAATAGGAATTCTAAATGTAACACATATTTTTTTAGGTAGGTAGGTAGCTTTTATTGTCATTCAACTGTACATGTGGGATGCACATATGAACGAGATTTAATTTCACTGGCTCATAAAGAAAACTACACTAAAGCTAAAACATGTACTACTGTACAAAATCAGTATAAAAAATATAATCATATAAAATCTAATGAAAAATGCTCCAACATGCACTAAGAATATAAAACTACAAATAATTAACAGCAGCATATAAATAACGTCCACACATCTTTCAGATGTTCATTAACAGCAGTGTCAGTCCACAACTGATTATAAACATGTTAGATGCAGATTGCAACTGTTTATTCCAGTCATGTTTTGCTAAATTTGTATTCAGACTACAGTGATGATAATTCATGTAGGTATTGCTCCTTGCTGCATTCAAACCTACTGCCTACCATATGTGACCCTGGACCACAAAACCAGTCTTAAGTCGCTTGGGTATATTTTTAGCAATAGCCAAAAAAAAAAACATTGTATGGGTCAAAATTATCGATTTTTCTTTTATGCCAAAAATCATTAGGATATTAAGTAAAGATCATGTTCCATGAAGATATTTTGTAAATTTCCTACCGCAAATATATCAAAACTTAATGTTTGATTAGTAATATGCATTGCTAAGAGCTTCATTTGGACAATTTTAAAGGCGATTTTCTCAGTATTTTGATTTTTTTGCACCCTCAGATTCCAGATTTTCAAATAGTTGTATCTCAGCCAAATATTGTACTATCCTAACAAACCATACATCAATAGAAAGATTATTTATTTTAAATCTCAATTTCAAAAAATTGATCCTTATGACTGGTTTTGTGGTCCAGGGTCACATTTTAGGTCTTTAACCACTACATCACCCACTTTCTTTTTACTCATCATAATTTGTTAAAGCATATACAATATTTTTGCACCAGCCAGCTTATTGAGGTCAGAAATCATTTAATAATTGTGTGACACTCTAGTTGCCTCAACTGGCCAAGGGATTGCAGTAGTTAAAAGAAAGATTACCCATCTGCCCCTTTTTCTGACTGTGACCTTTGCAGTGGCAGAACTACAGGCTCTGCAGACCCTTATTAATGAGCACTAATCAGCTATTAATCATCTGACATTCCTGGAACATTCCGGAAGCCGTGGGGGTGTGTTGAGGGGGGCGAATTGTGAATTGTGCCAATTTGAAGAAGCCACTAACATTAAGTACTAAACTGTTTGTGCTACAGACATTAATTGTATGCCTCAAATTAGAGACCTTATTTGGGATGTGGGTTGTTTTTTAAACTCCTTAGTATTGTAGCAACGACTAATGCAGAGTTATGTACTTGTTTCATAAAATGTACACACTGTGTAATTCATTTGTGTCTGTACACTGTAAATATAATCAGTTTGATCAAGACATGGCAAAATGTTTTTCCATCAACTCATCAAAATCATTGAACTAATTTTATAACCTTGAACAGTTGTTTCCAGCTAAAATACAAGTCCTCTATCCATAATATTGCTTTTTTCAGTGAAAAAGTCGTCTCGGCTTGATCGTTAGGCATAAACAGGCCAATCTCCAATCAAGTTTCTCCAAATCTGTTCTATCTCTTTAAGTTTTTAAGTTGGTGGAATCCCCCCCCACCCAGTGTACCCAGATCACACAGTTTGAATGAGAATATGTCTGTTTCTTTTCGCAGGACCATAAAGCATTTGAGTTCTCATGAGGCGCTCCAGTTGGCTGACTATGAAGAGATGTGTCTGCATTTCAGTCCAAGCTTGATGGTTATAATCATCACATCACTCACTCCACACAAAAGCACATCTTGCTTGCTTTTGTTTCCTCTCAATCATTTTTGCATCTTATGTCACTTCCAGATTTCAGATCACAGGAAGCATTTGGTGTCACCCCCTGATTATCTTGTCCTTGTTCAACCTTCCCTCCTGAGACCGTTTTGATAGATACTGAATAACAGATATTATTGCTTTAAAGGCTTGGATGATGAAAGAGATTATAAGTGTGTGTGATATTTGAACGCAACAAACACATGCTGCTCTCACACAGAGTTATTTACCTCAGGAGTCCCTCTGCTTTTGTCTATGACTTTTCAATGACTTTTCCATTCATTCAAGGGACAAGACAACGATTAAAAATATTATTGAAAAAATATAAAATGTATTAAAGCTGAACATAATATTAATATAAAAATAATTTCTAGAACAATTAGGTATTTATTTGATAATATATCAATAAAATAATAAATCAATAAAACGAGGAAGTTTATTTATTTATTGAAATGTCAATTACCAGAACATTTTCTTCGTTGGACTGGCCTGGCAGTTTATCATCAGTGTTACAAATCATGCTCAGTTGTCTAATTTCTCTAATGAATAATCAGGACAATGCCATATTATCGAATGCAAGACACATGTTTATGAAAGCTATTCTAATTAATGGAACATTAGTGCTGTAAGCCAAACTATGGAATTAACACTTCCTCTGATATGATTAATACAGCCTTTTCTTCTGGCCTAGTTCCCAGCTCATCCGAATAACCACCGGATTCTTGCCGTCAATATATTTCCAGTTGATTAATGGCATAAAACTGGGAATGTAATGCTAGATTAAGAGCCATGCGATAAATTGCGCATAAAACAAGTTTTAAAATCTTTCAATGTTCATGCTCAAAGGATCATTTGTCTTTATAACATGGTGCTATAAACACTATTTTCCTCACTGATGCCCTCCATTTGCAAAAGGCTTTTTAATGCAGGCACAGTGAGTGAACACAGTTCATGTACACGAAAGGTCTACAGATCAATGGTTAAGAGACAGAAAGCAATTTTTCCTTGTTCTTTATGTTAAGCATGGCAGCATGAGAATTATTTGCCCAAGTAGGCCTACTGAAGAAATGTTATTATGTGGAATCAGTTTAGTCAATCATCAAGAAAGTGTCTTTATCATTTATAGTTTTACAGTTTCATTTTCTGTTTTAATTGGTAGTGTTAAAAGTGAAAGTGTATCTTTCTATATATCATCCAATAGCTTTCTGCCGGCCTCCACTATAAAAATTTATACATGAAATTAAATGCAAACATCTGTGATGTTGCCAGTGTAGCTTTAGGCAAATCTTGTCAAAATGTTCATATATGAATTTAGTCACAAATTAATAAATATTTCCATATGTTTGAAATTTGCATAGGCTCTAATGTACTGTGGGAATAACTTGCTGCCAGTGTCATCTCCAATTCCCCTCTACAAACAGGCCAACATCAATTTTGTCATTCATTATTTGCATAATATGCTAACACATGCCATCTTTCCAGCACAAACTGAGAGCCACAGCTCTGTTATGAAACTAGCCTAAAGCCAGTGGCCTTTTATTTGAGTAATGAATTAAATGATATTTGCTCTGCCAATTTAAATCTGCTCAATTTGGTGATATTAATGAAACATAGGTGTAGCCTATCTGACACAGTCTTTTAATACGTTATGATGCCTAACTTCATAGCATAGACTTCATGTGCATGATCTTTTTAGGGTTATTTGACATTATGTTTTAGGATAGGAAATACATTCTACAGCTGCACTGGAGTATGTAATACATCTAGTTAATAACGACTGTTTAATGCAAATATCTGTTTAAATACGTTCAACTTTATGCTGGAAATTAACTTAACACTATACAATTTTTTTTTAGCTATTGACAAAATTGTAATACTATAATTGTACGTTCTCCTGGCTTCTATGGCATTCCTAAAACAAACAGTAGGCGCTCCTGCAACGTGGCGTATACATATCTATGGCGTCCACGCCCATCTCGAGTTAAAGACAAGCGATTGGCCAATAGCAGAGCTTCTAACATTCCGCGTTCATGTTAGCCGCATTATGATTGGCTGTCTGTTGACACGCACCCATTCGGGGTTTGGTTGTAGCCGTCAGCGATCCGCCGGGTAATGTTTGAATCGAAAATGAAAAGTTGGATTGTTTCGTTCTGAGTCGATAACGATTGAAACGCTTCTCCCTGGCAACCGCAGCTTCTGCGATTTCCACAGTGCTCGTTTAGAGCGTTTAACTTTGTGCCAGTTTTGAACTCTCTCTTTGCGTTGGATCGCGTCCTTTAGGCATGGACGTCTCGACGTATTTATGCTTTTTGTCGCTTTGCACGTGTTTGGTGCACGGAAAACCCACTCTCGGGAAAGAAAGAGTTCATCACGAGCCTGAATTGAGCAGACAACCCCACGAAGATAACCAGAGCTATCAGTACGACCACGAGGCCTTTCTGGGCAAAGAGGAGGCCACCACATTCGATCAGCTCACCCCAGAGGAAAGCAAAGCCAGATTAGGGTAAGATTGGGGGTTTTGTTCAAAAGACCTCCTTTAGCATGATGCATGTCTTTATGTATGAGGACCAATGACAGATAAGACTGTTCAAGATGACAAAAAGGAGAAACAGTCTGATAATCTAGTTTAAAACGTGTTAAATTCTTAGGAATTAAATAATTGTATTCATATTTGTTCATACATTTGTAAAAAGAATTTATACCTTTTTCTACACGCATACATGCGTGCATATGTATGTGTGT